ACACACATATTTTCACACACACACACACATATATATTTTTACACACACACACTCACACATATATATTTTTACACACATATTTTAACACACACACACACACATATATATTTTTACACACATATATTTTAACACACACACACACATATATATTTTTATGTTTTATGTTTTACATGTTTATCTTGTCATTTGCTATATCCAGCAAAGTAAACCAAAAGATTGAAGGGTGATTCTCAAAAATATATTTTTACACACATATTTTAACACACACACACACATATATATTTTTACACACACATATTTTAACACACACACACACATATATATTTTTACACACACACACACACACACACAGTACATCATTTGTTTGGCGTGTCTTTTGTCTCAGTTGTTCTCTCAGCCTCAACAGGCAGAAGTGGCCGATTGTTAATAAGCACAGGGAGTCTTTACTGAATAGCGGCGGATGGTTATTCAGCTTTAATTGGCTATTGAACATCCCGTATTCCCCGAGAGGCTGAATCTGGCACGAGGCCAGATCCTCAATGACAGCCGATGCTGGAAGAGTCACGTCCGTCTGTAACACACTGGCAGAGCTGCGACGGAGGAAACAGACAGATGGCCGTAAAGCTCCTCGCCGCGGCTAGCACATCCGCGCTCTCTTCCACCAGCGGTTCTCAGGGAAATCAAACGAAAGGCTCGACGGAGGAAATGTCGCTGTATCAGACAGAAACAGAGGAATAATCTTCAGCATCAGAGCGTCGCGTCTGTGTCCGCCGGCCGCTCCTCATAACACAATCACGCGTGATTGATTAGCTGCGCTAAAGCAGAAGCATCACTGCGGATTTGTTTTGCTGACCCTTGCTCTCCATACAAACAAAGGCACAATCGCTTCTGAAGGACAGAAGAACTACAGCGATCAATACGTGCAGTACAGCAACAATGCAGCGTTCAGGTCATCGCTCCAAATGGCCTGTAGGGGGTTCACGATCAATTAAAAACTGATCAATAATTATACAGCTGAACTGCTGCTGTTATATATTTTCATAAATATTTATGTGTTTATTAAAGGCGATCACCGAACAGCAGTACGTGAGCAGCATGTGCTCCATGTTAAATAATATTATTAGTAGAGCTGTCACACTATTAACATTTTAATCAAATTAATTACATGACGTGCTGACTGAGAAATTGGGCATTTAAAGTCATTGTGTTAGATGAAAATTAATGTTTTTTGTTTCTTAAATTTGAATATTGACTTGATCTTTTAATGAAAAGAAATAACTAAAAGCGCCAGTAGGTGGCAGCGAGTCACAGCGAGTCTTAATGAGCGAGTCGTTGAATCATTCATTCAACCAATTAGTTCAAACTGCTGATTCATTCAGAAACAAAGCTCATGAATGAGTCACTGAATCACTGACTCACTCAATTTGTTCAAAAATATGGATTCATTCAGTAACGACTCAACAGTTCTGCTGTGACTTTGAACGATTTTTGTTGATCAAAATTGACGATATCGTGTCACACAACAAATCTTGTTTATTGAACTGTTGTATAAATGAATCTCATTTGCAGTCTTGCAGATATTGGGAGAAAAGCAGCACTCTAGCTGGTGTGATATATATATCATATGATATAAATGTGATTTATTTTTTGTGCTCATATCTTGAATTTTAGGCTCATATAACTGCATTCTAATAGACTCCATCACGCACTGCATCAGTGTGATACGACGGACAGCTCTGGACGGGACGCTGCGCTAAATGCATTAATCATTATAACACGTTATCTTTAAATCAACAATCTTCTGTTTTCATCTCTTTCTCTCTCATAAGCCTTTGAGCTGTTGTTCTTTAGGCTTCGACCTGAAATGGAGAAAGGAGAGCGCTGTTTCCATCACATCGTTACCTGCGTCTGAGTCGTGTCGTCGCTGCAGTTCTCCTCGTGCATGCGGCTCTGTGGCGTGTCGAGCTGGCGTTCGTCTGCGCTCGAGCGGTTCTCATCCAGAGCTCTCACAGTCTCTCCGACAGAATCAGACATCTTCATCAGACACGGCTACCTGGAGTGCCGACCGAGAGCTGGAGCTGGAACACATGCCAATTATTTTACCATGTGACTGCAACAAAAACATTTAGAAACAAGCCACTAATAGTGAAAAGAAACACCTGATTCGGTTGCTTCTGAAGTGCATCATTAAACTTGTAAATCTCTCTCACACAAGCTTTAGCTGCTGCACATCATCCTCCGTCAACATATGCTCTAAAATAGCATAAACTTATATGAAACTGCATGACGTCTTGAGTTGTCTAGGGAGACGCTATACATCAGCGCCCAACACAATTAACCTCCAACAATTATGAGCCGAGTGTCTCACGCAAGAATCTGAGAATTACACCCATCTCAGACTTTCATGAACACGCTAGCGCAGAGTGAGATTTCTAACACGCGTGACGCGAGAGCGATGACACCTCATCCAGATGGTGGAGAAACAACTTGTGAACGCATTCGAGAGCCACGAGGAATAAAAACACTCCGAAACCAGCAGAAGGCTTTTCACTTTAAAACCTCCTCACTGCAGACATTCACACATTTCTGCCCTCAGAAAAGCGATTTCTAATCATCTTTCACTCATCAACAAAATGTGTTAGTGAGGAAACTTCATTAAATTTAAAATTCATTAAATATGAATTATTTGTATGTTCTGAGGATTTGCCTAGAAGCAACACTGTGTATCTGTGCAATAATAATCTTTATTTTCATTTAAGGCATGACACCACAAGTGAAAAGTGAAAAATAAATAAATAACTACTAAATATCACAGAACTTTATCAGTTGATTACATTAAAAATTGCAATGTTTTTTTTTCTTTTTTTTTTTCTGAAAGGTTATATTTAAATATGCAAATGATGCATTATCTAATTAAATATGCACTCATTTGCATACATTTCCAGAACATAAATCTGAACAACAGAAAATACTGTCAACAGACAGTAATTTTTTTATGAGTAAAATGTTGTATAAATCATTATATTATGAAATCTCCAAAATATAGAGGAATAAAACTGTAAAGTCTGGTGTTTGTAAGAGAAAAAACTCTAAAGATACGGATTGGAATTTTAAATCTACTGATGCAAATAGACAAAGAGCAATAAAATGAATACTTAAATTAGTATTTTGGATGTTTTCTTTCCACTAGTCCGAAAACAAAAAAACAAAAACAAAGCTCAAAATTGACCAATTCATTAATAAAACTGTGGTGTCTCGCCTCAATCCAGTATTTCTAGTGTTTATCTAATGAAAGTAAAATTCAAAACACACATTAAGGTTTCAGTTAGTTTTCAGTATTCAGCTTCGATTCGTTTCTTTCCACTGTCGCCTAATAAGCACCAGCTCAGATATTAGCGTGTTTGATTGCAGTACTGAGGGTCGTCTTAAGCAGGAAAAGCATCAGCGTTGTTGTCATAAAGCGATAAACAGAAGAGCCGTTACCCGGTGTTCTGCTGCGCAGCGTGAAGACCGAACCCTCGTGGCTTCAGTGGCGCTGCGGAGCGTGGCGTCGCATGTGCCCATGTCCCCTTCACCGGCCCCGGAGCCCGATCACTGCAGCGTGGGCTGCCGGCACGCTCATGTCCTTCAGGAGCCTGCGGACACAGAGAGACAGGTCAGGACGGAAATACGGGGAACTCGTACCTATGATATTTTCATGGCCAAAATATACAAGTGTTGTATAAATACAATAAAAGAAAATAAAAATACAGCCGTTTTTACACTTACATATGTGACCCTGGAGCACAAAACCAGTCATAAGGGTCAATTATTTTAGTCTTTCCATTGATGTATGGTTTGTTAGGATAGGACAATATTTGGCTGAGATACAACTATTTGAAAATCTGGAATCTGAGGGTGCAAAAAAATCTAAATATTGAGAAAATCATCTTTAAAGTTGTTCAAATGAAGTTCTTAGCAATGCATATTACTAATCAAAAATTAAGTTTTGATATATTTACGGTAGGAAATGTACAAAATATCTTCATGGAACATGATCTTTACTTAATATCCTAATGATTTTTGGCATAAAAGAGAAATGTATAATTTTGACCCATACGATCAAAACATATTGTTGGCTATTGCTACAAATATACCCCAGCGACTTAACACTGCTTTTGTGCTGCAGGCTCACATATGATAATTCTAACACAACTTCTGGTAAAATCGTAATAAACAAGTCCAGCTCCGATCGTGTTACTGATCACAAACTCAAGCGAGGTTATAGTCAACAGGGGCTTGTTACGGAGAGCGAGAGCTGAAATTAGACGACTGCTTTGAGACAAAAGCCTGCGAGTTTTACACTTTGACCTTCAGCGAAGCAACACGCCGGACGCTTTGAAAAGCAGCCTCTTTTTTCCCGCGAGATGAAAGCGTGTGTGGAACTGAGAGCGCAGCTAAGCAAACACTCGACGCTGACAATGAAGCGCATTTACCAGCCACTGCTGCATTATTTAAGAGGCTGATGGCTGAGGCTGATTGATATTCATGAGATCTGTAGCCCAGGGGTGTGTGTGTTGTCATCGGTCGCACACACACACGCACACACACACACACACACACGCACACACACACGCACACACAC